AAGAAATACCATTTTCCCCCAAAGGAATTTTATAAAGAAGATCTATTAGCCATTCGGCCTCTTTTCCTATTTCGGCCAATGCTACAAACTCGGATTTCATTGTTGAATGTGTAATGCATGTTTGTTTCTTAGACTTCCAAACCTGAAGTAGACTTGTTTTCTCATGCACTTGATAACCAACTAGCATCAGTATATCCTTTAAGAATAGTTGGAAGCTTTGTATATTGTAGTACAAGGTTTTTGATTTTCTTTAAGCAACTAAAAACCCTTCCTATGACCTTCCAATTTTCCAAACTTGGATTGCTAGTAAACCTATTTAGTTTACTTACAGCAAATGCAACATTGGGTCTTGTACAATGTACAGCGTACATAAGACTTCCGATTGCACTTGCATACTTAATTTGAGCTATTGATCTTCCTCATTCTTTACTAACTTGATATTTGAATCCAATGGGGGTATTTGCCTCTTTAATGTTCAAATATTTGAACTTATTTTTCACATTCTCAATATAATGTGATTGACTTAATGAATGACACACACTATCCTTCTTAACTTTAATACCAAAGATATTAGCCACTTGTCCAAGATCTTTTATTTTAAACATGGAAGATAGAAATATCTTCGTTTCTTTAATCCATCTATGTCATTACTAATATACTTTGATATATAAGCATTTATCAACCAAATTATGAGTAAAACCGTATGAAATAATAGTAATGTCAAATCTCTAATGCCATTTTTTAGGGGTTTGCTTTAAATCATATAAGGACTTGATTAGTTTGCATACTTTATATTCATTTCCTGGTAAAACAAACTCTTCCGGTTGTCCATACATACCTCATTTTCGAGATCTCCATTTAAGAATGCCGTCTTTGACATCCATTTGATGAACATATAATCACAAATAGATGATAATGCAAACAAGATTATTATCGAGGTTATCCTAGCCACATATGCATACATGTCAAAATAATTTATTCATTCTTTTTGTCAATACCATTTAGCTAATAATCTAGCTTTATAGGTATTGAGAATTCCATGGGAATTATATTTCCTTCTAAACACCAAATATTGATTCATTAACTTGATGGTAACCAACGTAGTTTCCACCTCCATCGAAATAAATGTAAAATATCGTTTTTAAATTGTTGAAAATATCGAAGAGAAGAAGGAGACGGAAACAAGAAATAAAGAATAAGGATCAAACACGTATGTGATATGTTGTCCTAAAACGATATTTGCCTCCTCTAGTATGCTTTTAGGATTTCTAGCAAATAATTTAGATGATTGACAAGCCTTCAAGAAAGAAGCACAAAAGCAAAAATAATTCTATCTGGTCGAACTTGTTGAAAACTTGAAGAATGTTTGAATATGTATTAGAATAAGAAAAAATCAAGTATAGAAATGAATGATGAAATCTTATGTTATTTTCTTATGTTTAGAATTGGAAATCTATCACATATTTATAGATTTCTAACATTATACCACAAAAAGGCTCCAAACACTTGTGAAAAGTTGAGAACTTCCACCAAAAAGCACTAGAAATCCAAATGATAAATTAGCCCAATGGTTAAATTTTTTAACCATATGTATGCATGGTTATATCCTTGCGTGCACATAGTAGAAGCAACATTATTTCAGTTTCCTACAGACAACTTCTTGTATACACAAGGCCATTTGGCCTGTGCTTACACGATTAAGCAGAAATCACCCAACATTGCATTCCAATTTCATCATTAATTTATTCATTTTTCAACCCAAATTTTGAATAACAAATAATTATAATAATTATATAACACATTACACGTCTACCTTGTGACAGTCATAAGTTGCATAAGGCACAACGAATATGTTTTCACTTCAGTTATCATAAGGACTCACACAATGAAGAAGCAATGGTACATTCTTCCATCTTCATAGCGAAGCACATGTAGTATAAAATACACGTTACAGTGGAGGTATCTCTTTTAGGGAAAAAAGTGTGTGTCCAATCTTAAATAAAAACACCATATAGATCTTAGTCTAATCGCCATTAGGCGCATTACTCGAATGCTATATATGCTCGCATGGGTTGAACACGGTTTAATTTGGATGATTTTTGGCCTATTTTCAAACCAAACTATTTAAAATAGTTTCGAAAAATCTCAAATCAAACTATTTCATTTTTCAAACCAAACCATTTTTTGTGGTTTGCTTTTATTTAAACCATGGCTTACCTATCAACACAATAATATCTCATTCAAAACAAGTACTATACATGTAAATTAGTCTAAAATTCTATAATACAAGTTTAAACAAGAACTTTGAAACATAAATGTTAAATTACATTATTTTTTTCTCAAGTTTTCATCCGAGCAAAACATTGTTACAATCTTTGAAGCAAAATGTACAATACTAAAGTGTTAACGTTTTTTAGAAACTGCACACTTGTATATGTATACGTGCATGGAATCCAAATTTAGTCCTTTTTTTATCCCTATTATTTTCAAAATATATTTTTCTCTCTCTTATTTTTGACCATACATTCTTCAATAAAATAATATTACACGCAAGCCCAGAACTTTTGTTTATTTTTTTACCTCACATTTTCCATCAAAATACTATTTCAAAATGTATTTTAAGCAAAAAAAAAAAAAAATGAGGCTTAAACAGGCTCTTAGTGTATGACGATAACAAATCAAACAATTTCTACATATTTATATGTATTATGTAAGTTAATTTTTATTTTCTATTTCTTCAATGAACTTATTGATGAAAATAGAGAAATTTGGGTCAGTAACATCAATGACTTCTTCATTGATCAATAACAATCAAAAAACTATTGATAATCGTTGATATTATTATTGATGATACTATCATTCATTTGATTTAAATCTTTATTAATACTAATTATAATAAATTCATTGAAAATGAAATAAAAAAGGAGGTTTTGTGTTATTATCCATTTTGTATTGAATTATACTATAGGAACAATGCATATTTAAGATGTTCGAAAGATACAATTTCAAAATTAAGAAATTTATTTTAAAATTTCAAAAATCAGATCATAATTAATAATTAAAAATATTTTATTAATAAACTATATTAAGGTCAAAATATTATACAATTTATGGTCACAGCTATGTACTAATTGCAATCAAAGAATGCTATAGTCACAAATCACAAGTTTTATAGGTTACAACTTATTTATTGATTACAAATTATCAAATTAATTTATTACGCATTATTTCTCGATCACAAATCACAAAATTTATAGGTTATAATTTATTTCACAGTCACAAATTATCAAATTAATTGGTTGCAAGTTATTTCTGGGTAATAAATTATCAAATTAATTGAACAAATTGTAAGTCATAAGGACAAATTTATTTGCAATCTCACATTTTTGAGGTCACATATTATTCATTGATTACAAATTATTTATTTTATCAATTACATATTATTTATTGATTACAAATTAATCAATTTATTGTTCACAATCACTCAAAAAATTGGTCACAAATATTTCTCATCCCATCCCATTCAACCACGACGCCAACCGAACGTCACCATTGTCACACCGCCACAGCCACCTGCACCACTGCCACTACCTCGACCACCACCAATTGTAAACCACCAACATCCATTAACAAAAACTACCTTAAAACTTCGACTAAGAAGATCAGGGAAGAAAGAAACCACCCCAAAAATGACTCCAGCAAATCACCACCCCAAAACCACTCCAGTAAATCACCACGACAATCGCTCCACCATCTCAACCACTAAGTGAACACAAATCTACAAGATATAATTGAAATTAGAGTAATTAGTACATAACGTTCCCACATGTCATTGTTATTGTGAAAAACGTCTATACATTTCATTTTTTGATATTTTTCACCCTTATTTCCACATTTCATTGCGCAAAATGTCATTTCACCTAATGTTTCAATTAAAAATTATGAGATGGTGATATACCCTCTCTTTAAATAAAAGAAAAAGAAAAACTAATTGCAACCACAGTCCCAAATTTTTTAAAATCGCAAATAAGTTACAAATAAATTATTAAAAAGGTAATTTAATGTCCATGTCTTTCACCGTTAATGCAAAAAACGTCCCTACCTTTCAGTTTTTTTTGGCATTTTCACCATTAATTACACATTTAATTACGCAAACCACCATTTTCATCCAATTCAATAATTGGTTTGCGCAATCAAATGTGTAATTAAGGGTGAAAATGCAAAAAAAAAAAAAGAAAGAAAGGTAGGGACGTTTTTCGTAATAACGGTGAAAGATCATGACATTATGTAATAATTATATTATAAAATTAAAATTCTACATACCCACCCCATCCAGTTCAAAAATTTGTGACTTATTTGCGCTTTCTAAAAAAATTGGGACTGTGATTGTAATTAATTTTTTTTCTTTTTCCTTTTCTTTTATTTAAAGAGGAGTATATTTGTCATTTCATAATTTTTAATTGAGAAAATAGGTGAAAATGACCTTTTGTGGAATGAAAGGTGAGAATAAGCCCATGTTTGAGCCATATTAAAATTTTCATTATCATTCTTCTACTCATTTTTAACCACACATTTTTCAATGAAATAATATTTTCCATCACATCAATAATGTTTCCTTCTTTTTCAAGCACGCATTCTCCATCAATCTACTATTGTAAAATACATTCTTCCAAATGAATGTGGTTCAAACACACCCTAAGGGTGAAAATGCCAAAAAATGAAAGATAGTGATGTTTTCCACAATGATAATGAAAAGTTGGGACATTATGTGCTAATTACCCTTGAAATTACTAATTAAAATATAGTAATCATAGAGACTTAATTCCAATTTCCATTAGAATCATCGCCACTTCAATAGCCATTGTCACCACCACCATATCTACCACGACCATCGCCTCCATAGCCACGGTCACGCCTACTTCCATATCCAGTGCTACCGCTATAACCTCCCTCATGTTGGCCATGGTCCCTACCGTTGCCTCACCTTTATAACCTCCCTCATGGCATCCGCCACGAAATCCAATGTCTCCTTCACAGCAATGTGAGCATCGCGCATAGCGACGATGATGTCGCTGCACAACGTGGCTTCCAATGAAAGAAAGAATGAAGGATGGAGAGATAGACGATAGAGAAAGGGAGGGGATAAATAGAGAAGACAGATGAAAATGATTTATAGTTTGGCTGTTTGGGGGTGAAATTGGATGGGGTGGGTATGTAGAATTTTAATTTTATAATATTATTATTGATATTAAAATGTTGAATTATCACCTAATTTTTGAACCAAAAAAATAAAATAAAATAAACCTAATTTTTGAATTGAAAAGTTAAAAACCATGTGGGAGTGTAATTTCCACTTATACTATTACCCTATAAATGCGTAAATTAGTAGAATTATTTTATTATTATTATAAATAATAATAATAATAATAATAATAATAATAATAATAATAATAATGTTTCGTTTTATTTAAGCATTTTTAAACATGGAACCTAAACCAAATCATTTACTAACTACTTGGTTTGGTTTGGTTTGGTTTTGAAACTAAAATGTAGGCAAAACCACGTGAAACAAAATAAACTCTTTAAAACCAACATAATCAGTTCAATTTGCAGTTTAAAGATTTTTTGTGCAACTCTATAGCTTGCTTCAAATCATTTACTAACTATTTGGTTCGGGTTGGAACCAAAATGTAAGTGGGGCCCACACTAACGTGAGTGTGTTGTAAGTGTTGTCAACCACTAATTATTGTACACATAGCATTGTTCGATGTACCTTTTTGCATCTTCAAAATTGGGCAGTGGGACCCACACTAATGTTAGTGTGTTGTAAGTGTTGTCAACCACTAATCATTGTACACATAGCATTGTTCGCTGTACCTTTTTGCATCTTCAAAATTGGGCCACGTGAGACTCCATAATGAAAAAGTCTAGATGTACATCATCAGCTACAGAATGTTTTAGCTAGAAAAATAGAATTCCAAAAATACCCTTCTACATAAGAATTTGCAAACAAAGCCACTATAAGAATATAGGAACTTCAATTAAGTCCCCAAAAAATTTATAAACTAAAAATCTTATTCTAAAAAATTATTTATGAGAAGACCTTTATCAAATAGATTGCATAAAGAAATTAAAAAATTTAGATATACCTTAACAGTTATGTTTTATTTTAGAATATTAAGTAATAGATTAAAAATTAAACATCTAAAATGATAGTTAGAATATACTCAAACAAAGAACAAAAAATTGAATTTCCGCCCTTGTGTACCCTAGTAAAAATGGTATCAGAGCCTGGTCACGAACCTAAAATAATGATGAATATAGTAGACGAGGAAAATATAATTGAAGAATTTTTGAATTAAGTTGAAAAACATAAGAAACCTAGTTATCTTTATTTACCTAAAATTAGTACAAAT